TTCCCCTTGATATAGAAATCCCATGAAGGGAGCTATCCAATGAGCAAGTAATTCAGTATTAGCTTAAGATATTGAACACATTTTATTTAAACATCAAAGCAGTATAAAGGTAAAACACCTAGTACAAGACATTTAAAATTGTTTAAAAACAATGACACAGCCTCCCTATAATGGCCCAAATGATAGGACGGAGCAGTCAGGGTTAATGTATCAGCAGAATGACAGGCAGTCACTGGTGTGAGCAACTACACTGTATTACAACAGTGGATACAATTGTATCGATAGGTAACCAAGTTACTCACTTTTTCTTTGGTGGCTTTGCGGCCGCACTTATAAGGGAAACTTTTGGGCTGTCTCCTACTTACAAGGCTGGAGAGGTAGCCCTTCGGGTAATGTTTTTTCCGGGTCGATCACGGAGGGAAAGAAAAGCCGTGTAAACCATCAAGATTTAAACAACAACTACCAGGATTCCAAATCACTACACAAGCATCTCCTATGGGAATATTATCCTGACATCTATTACGGAATCACGAATGGTTTTTCTTTTCCCCTCTGTGGCCACCAAAGAAAAAGTGAGTAACTTGGTTACCTATCGATACAATTGTATCCACTGTTGTAATACAGTGTAGTTGCTCACACCAGTGACTGCCTGTCATTCTGCTGATACATTAACCCTGACTGCTCCGTCCTATCATTTGGGCCATTATAGGGAGGCTGTGTCATTGTTTTTAAACAATTTTAAATGTCTTGTACTAGGTGTTTTACCTTTATACTGTTTTGATGTTTAAATAAAATGTGTTCAATATCTTAAGCTAATACTGTATTACTTGCTCATTGGATAGCTCCCTTCATGGGATTTCTATATCAAGGGGAATGTGCTTTGTGAAGGCTCCCAGATCGCCCAGGAGATTTCTTTTTTTTGACAGCTGCAGAGCCGCCGGACAATAGGAAACTATTGGGCGGAGCTAGCTGTCACTGCTAGCTCCGCACAATCGTTTTCTATTTACATTTTTCTACTTTTTTCACTCTTTTTCTGTTCTGCTCAGTGCCTCTGAAGGACCGAGCAGAACAGCAGAGCCAAATGCCGCTCGGCGGCATTCGGCTATTCTCTCACTGCTTTTCGGGATCTTTCAGAATAGCCCGAACAGCAGTGTGAAGCCTGCCGGAGGTTCGGCTCAGCCGATCCAGATGAGTCGAACTCCTTCTGCACTTCGGGTCAGCCGAACATGCTGAGCATGTTCGGCTGATGCGAAGCCACACGAAGCAAGCCGATGTACGGCTGATTTCAGCCAATGTACGGCTGAAATCAGCCGTACCAGCCTGAAGTGAATAGCCGAACAGTGTTCGGCTCACTTCACTTCTGATCGGTCATTCACTCAGCTGCCCTCGGCAGCTTTGTGAATAGACCCCTATATGTTAGCATCTAATCAGTTACTATATAACCCAGATGTTGACGCTGTGCTTATTTACCAAAGAAGTTGGTAATAAATGCAATAAATGGTAGCTGTGTTCACTTCAAATACCCAATTTATGTGCAGATAAAATAAATAAACAGTAAAATTTGTTTTTCTCACGATTGGATTATAGATAAAATGTGGCTGACTTCCTCTAGCATTTAGGCAAAGAAAAGGCAACTCAGTGACTAGCTGCATTGAAGTCACTGCACAAATGGATCTATTCACAAATGTTTTAAAATAAGATTTACAAAACTTTCATCCAAGTGTCACACATCTGTCTAATTAGATTAAATTATAAAATTGTAAAAATGTGGGAACCATGGATGAATGTGGTATGAATCTTGTGTGAAAACATTGATAAATAGACCCCTTAGTGATATTTTTTTTGAATAATAATAAATATACCTTTTCTGTTACATCTGTAGCCTTATATATGACTTCATTCATTAGTAATCTATAAACCTCTTCAACAAATTTTTCTCCAGAATTGCTATCTATTATTGGTCCATTTAAGATGACACCATCCACAAGCACTGCATTCTTCTTCATACTCCTTGATTCCCCAGCACTAGGATCAGCTGAAAAATAAAATGTTATTATTAAAATTAGAAATACTTTTCTTTTGGTAAATTGTGTACTGTCATTAATAAACTATTGTTGGTATTGTAATGAGGTTCTAACACATTTTATTACTCATGTGCAGCGCCATGTTGCCTAAAGCATATCAGTTCAATGAAAATTTACAGTGTTCATTTCTGAACATCAAGGCTGTGAGATATTCATTAGCATCAATAAACACAACATGATGAGGCTAGTTACAATAATGTAGCTATTATTAGCTCAAACAAGTTATAGTGTTAATACAATGAATAATGAACTGTGATGTCTGATAAAAATTGCATAATAAAATATGTGCTAAATGGTGCTTTGGGAGGAAATTATTTTATTAAATTAGTCTATATTGTTTTTAGTTTAATTAGTTTTTATTGTTTTTATATACTTTTTAATTACAAATGGTGGTGTCTAGTTTGTGTCTAGATTCAATTAAAATAATACTAACGAATCAGCAGAGAAATAATCAGATTCCTAATTATGCTTTGCTAACTCTTGTTTTGAACTCCAGCTATCCCTATAATTTATGTTTTTTTGACTGCCTTATAAAGAATCGATCCACCAAGTTCAAGTGGATCAGAATACTATCCTTTTTCAGTTGTTTTTACATTCTTTCTTTTTAACCCTATTATTACCAGGTATATTTGAAGCTGGATGCCCAGGTCAAATTTAGCAGCACTAGTTAACCTCACAATAAATACTAAGAAAACATGA